AAACTATTGATACATTTTTATCATCAGTTAGAACTTCTATGAGGAATTTACCTGTCCTAATTCCTCATTGAGGTCAGAAGTATTCACCAGAGGTCCTTCACCTGTGTCCTCATCAAACATTTCTTCATCCCAAGTGAGGAAATAAGAACCAAGAAACTTCTGCATTTCCACTGTGACATACATTGATACAGGAATAATGTAGTTGAAAAGAACCATGAACGCAAGGAAGTCTGTAAATGCTCTAAGTATCTGCCAAAGAAACAAAACCAAAACATTGATTTTTCATTAATCAGTGGAAATTACAAGATTAAAATGGTTATTTACGCGTTTATCTTTCAAATGTCTTTCAAACATTAAGTGGAACCATTTAAAAGAAAAATCTTCTCAGTTACTGTCAACCCTCAGCTTAAATTTCTGCATTTCTCCATCACCGTCATTTTCTCTCCATGCTTCACTATACAGTGAAGTCAGAAACTGGCACATTTTTATACATCTGTTATGATTCCAACTTCACTACTAATCAAGCATGAGGAAGAAAGAGCTTTGAAGGAGAAACCAACTTTGTAATTCTTGTAATTCTCAGATTGAGAGTACATATTTTCAGTTACATATCAATGTATTACAAAGTTCTAGAGTGTCGAATGAATGACTACCTATGAATGATGAAAAATTAATATTCACAGAATATCAAAAGAAAAACCAAACAGCAAGAAAAGGAGGCAAGGTTTGCTGATTTGTACAGATTACAGGCATTTCCCATATTTCAAATAAAGGGCCTCCCTGTCTCAATGAAATAGCATTGTATATAACATGTATATATTAATACTTTGATGTTTTCTCCATAGATAATAAATGACAGATTTTAAGCAATTTAGAAATAAAGGACTGAATTGTGCAACCTTTACTCCCATTAGTAAGCCTAGCAATCACAGTTACTAAGATCACACAAGTATTACTTGTGGGAGTAAAGGTTGCAAAATCCAATCTTATTTGTAAGAAAATGTATTTATGTAAAGAAAGGCTGCAAAATGAGGCCCAAAATTAAGAGTTTAATACTGATTTCTCAGTAACTAATACCAGCAACAAGAAAACACAAACTTTAGGTGGATTTTTAATACTTTACCTACTGAATACTAAACACTATTACTATATAGTCTCTTTAAGCTGGATGTTCGTTCAAATGTAATTTTAAAGTGCAGAAAGCCAAAATACAAGCTTTTCCAAACTGCACTGCCAGTAGTCTCAGCAAGGACCAGGAAAAATAATTCATGACTGATAGTCACTCTTCACTAGGATCACTGGAAACATATGTGAATTTAGGGTGTTCTGAAACTATTTTGGTATTTTTCAAGTGTTTTCTTCACAAGATAAATTTTCATTAAAAATATTCTGCAAATTATGGTTGCACAGATCTACTTCTGAAAGAACAATGACAGTGTTGTATTTATCAATCTACAGGAACAGATAAGTCAGCCAGTGTCCATTTATATAGGACATGGTGGGGCATGATATAACAGTCCCACCTATGGTACATTTTTACAGCAAGAGGGACTAACAGATGTAAATTGCCTCATTCGCCTCGGGGTCATTAACTTTGTATATGACCATACCAATTTAAAATGTCAATATTGTTTACTATTTTACTGCTGTTCATTTTAGTATAAAAACTTAGCTAATGTGCTTTATGCAGTATAGTTGGATTAATTCAAAAGGACATGCTCCACGAATCAGGTTGCATTGGAATGTGGGATCAAATACTATTTTGTTTTGGTCCTTATGGCGGAATAGAAGGGAGAAGAGAGAGACAGGTGATAATATGGGAAGACCTCTGGGAAGAGATCGGGGTGGGAAGTCACAAAGAAAGGACTCCAAAAAAATATCCAACAAGTTCACTTGATTTGTTCTAAATGCCATTGAATTTTATAAATTTTCCTGTAGATATCCAGTGGCTCTAGTAATCCCCTAAGTGATTCTCAAAAGTCCTGAAATGGCTTCCCCTCAGACAGTCAAAATTACTTCTAATCAATAGAAGCTCATCCCCAACTTCAGAGATCTATTCATAAGCTACCGTATAAAAATATATCATATCCCATACTTCGCCAATAGCTTCTAACATTCTGTCATCTATTTTTAATCTGTTTACTTTAGACAAACATCTACTATTTATTCAATATTTATTTTTTATAGTAATTAGGTACCACACCTAGGGGATTTGCTTTCCTCTAACTGATATAGCAATTTTAGCCTCTCTAAACTTTTCAGTTTTACTATTATCTATATACTATTTAAAAATCACTACTTAAACGGTTTTCATGAAACAAGTGTTAACGAAACAGAAAATGTATAAAAACAAAAAGATTGCAGGGTACCTCCATTTGAATTTAGGATAGTATGGAAGTATGTTATCCAAAGACTTAGAATTAAAAAACAAACAAACAGAACAAAAACAACAGATCAGCATAGCATGGTCAAGTGTTGTATCTGCACTTAACATTCAGCATTTTAAAAGTGACCTCCAAAACATTCAGAAATATATTTTAACTAGTGTGTGCTAAATGCACAAAGAACAAGGGGGCAAAGAGTCATTCAAAAAGTAACAGATTGGAAAAACTAGTTTTTCCAGTCTTCTTAAAGTTATGCCAGCCAGTTTGACTCCATTGTGATGTCACACATACCATGAAGCATCATTAACTAATAGAACCAGTCAATATGGGTCTGGTAAGTACACTTTTTCAGTAATATGGTGTCCTTTTGAAAAAATATTTCATATACTTTTTTAAAAATAGCTTTTAAAAAATATTTTAAAAATAAAACATTTCTCTAACTCTACACCAACCCATCATACACTTCAACAGCAGGGCTTCCTGTTATCCGTAATGTCATACAATCATGTATTCTGGGATTACAGTGGAATGGAACTGTAACAATCTCAGGGGGACTAAAATAAAAATGACAAGTTTACACTTTCCTAGTTGCTATATGTTCCTCCACACTTTTCTATTTAGAACACTATAAAGAAAATTTTTTACATGTGTCACTCTTGAACATCTTGAGAGAAAATTATATGTTACACAAACACACAGTAATTTTCCATACCAGGTTTCTTTTCCTTTCTGACTCTGTTTTCTGATTATACCACGGTTCATCATGAAATGGATCACTCTGCCAGACATACTTCAGGGCAGTATTTATTAGTGCTTTACTGATTAGAATACAGAGGTATACAATAAGGAATACATTCATTGATCTAAAACAAACAAAAGAAACAACTCTTCCATTAGTATATAAAAATGTACAGAGTTTATGAAAACTTTATACTGAAGCTCCTTAAGTCAAATTAATATTCATTAACAAATCTAATAATGTTATGATGTTAAATCAGTTCTCTACAGTATTTCTCCAGCAGAGAATAATATCACTAAGACCTGGTCTAAACTTAAAAATTTACCAGCATAACTTGATCACAGATTTTATACACATATTTTACCAACATTACTATGCTGGTAAACGCACTAGTGTAGATGCAATTACATTGTCATAACTATCCTTATACCAGGACAGCTTATGCCAGTTCCCTGAACCAGCACAAACTACACTGGTATAAGCACTTTTATACTGATATAACTCCATCTACGCTCAAGATTTTGCTGGTATAACTATACCAATATAATGGCAAAAACCTCCTATTGCAGATGAGGCCTAACTTTCATCTCAAAGCTTAAGAAAACAAAAATGTTGTTATTAACATCAGTGATGGGCATGAACTGAAAGCTCTGACCTGTACACCTTTAACAGTAAGAGCTCCTTCACCACTTCCCAGCAGTTGTGAAAGGAAACAGGAGGTACACAGGCTGATCACCATAGCTTGCTTAAGCAATGGCATCCTCTCTGCCCCTCAGACACAAGGCTAAGCTTTAGGGCTATCTTATAGTACAATGAGACTAGATAATAATGCCCGATATCTTTGGTAACAGACAACCAATATCAGCCCAAGTAGCTGCTACTCCCCTTATAGATGACAGTGTGTTCAGAAAGCAACAGGCTTCCTTTTCAATACCATTCATTTTGCTTGTGTAGAAAACCATTCATTTTAGATAAAACACAGAAACCCTGCCAGAGACAGACTGGTAGTACACAGTGTTTTTGCAGTTTGGTTCCATTTTATTGTATTCTAGTATGCTTTTCCAGACTGAAGTGCCTCAAAGGAGTTTTGTCTATTGAACTCAACATTTAAATGCTAAAAATTGGGAACTGTAAGGGTACTGGAACATGGCACAATCTGGTGATTCTGTCAGTGGATCTACTCTAAGCAGCAAGAGTTACGATACTCTGGAATGGTAAAGAACAGCTGATTTCTAAAACGTATCTAGCATTAAGAAGTGTTTGTTGTTGTTTTTAAAATATAGTCATCTGTTCAATAAGAGGAACAAAAATCTAAAAGGAGCCCATGGTGACACACAGAAAGATGCAATTTTTACTAAGGCCAGGTCTACACTACCGCGGTAGTTCGACGGCTGGCAATCGAACTTCCGGGTTCGATTTATCGCGTCTGGTCTGGACGCGATAAGTCGAACCAGGAAGTGCTCGCCGTCAACTGCGGTGCTCCACCTCAGCGAGAGGAGTACCGCGGAGTCGACGGGGGAGCCTGCCTGCCGCGTGTGGACCGCGTCTGAACCGCGGTAAATTCGAACTAAGGTATGTCGACTTCAGCTACGTTATTCACGTAGCTGAAGTTGCGTACCTTAGATCGAATTGGGGTGTTAGTGTAGACCAGGCCTAAGTCTTTCTTCCACTTATATTCTAGTTAATGAAACGTATAGTTTTAGCATAAACAAAAAGGTGTCTATTTTTTTAAATCCAAACGTACTCTTTTCGCCCCAAAATAAATATTTAAAAAAGGATAATAAAAGCTTTACTTTTCAACAGCAGATCGTTTCTGTGATTTTGACTGGTAATTTAATGCCATCTTAGTTTCCATGCCAGTGTATATAGCAACACCTGAAACAAGAAAAACTATTTTAGTAAAGTATCGGGGGTAGCCGTGTTAGTCTGTATCTACAAAAATAACAAGGAGTCTGGTGGCACCTTAAAGACTAACAGATTTATTTGGGCATAAGCTTTCGTGGGTAAAAACCTCACTTCTTCAGATGCATAGAGTGTCTGAAGAAGTGAGGTTTTTACCCATGAAAGCTTATGCCCAAATAAATCTGTTAGTCTTTAAGGTGCCACCAGACTCCTTGTTATTTTAGTAAAGATTGTGATTGAAGATTGTGAATGCAAGTGTTAATGAACAGCACAAGATCAAGGAGGATATACAATCCTGACATCAATAAAAAAAATCTCTGATTGCCCTGCTATTTACATACCCTACCATTACATCCTGCCTTGGCCATATGAAGAAAAAAAATACTGGTTCAGATGATATTCAGAAATTACAAACAGTTGTAATATCATGGTTAGTACAGGCAAATTTTAAGAGACAGAGGTTGTTCACTTTGTATAGTAACTGGGGGTTCTTTGAGATGTGTGGTCCCGATCTGTATTCCATTGTGGGTATGCATGCACTTCATGCGCCTGAGACTGAAATTTTTTTGCTAGTATTGTCCATTGGTCCCCACCTGTGGTCCAGATGAAGAACATAAGGGGTAGTGAAGACTGACTACTTCTCCTGTTCCTTCTCTACCACGAATCATGTGAGAACCCAAGCAGAGGGCAAGATGGACAGATAGGGGAATACAGCTAGAGACTACACATCATTGGTGGAGTGCCAGTGCCTGGCATATATCCAGGGAATAAAGTCTCCTCTCCTCATTAGCAGCATGTAGCTTCAGAAAAAACAAAAACAAATAAACTAACAGGTAGATGTATAGTCTGTTTTAGGCAAAAGCCCAGGAGGACTTTGGGGGTGAATTCTGGGTGTAGCCTCAGCATAACTATCGCTATGGAAAATTGCATAAGGTGGATAAGCCATAATGACTTAGTTCACCAGACCTTCTTGCTGATGGGATGGCCACTAACATGGCAGGCAACCTTCACAGAGAGATGGGAGGAGCATGTCACTAAAACAATCGTCATCAAAATGGTGCCAAGAGGACCAAATTAAGGTCTCATGCTGGAGTGGGTTTAGTTACTGGAGGGAAGGTTCTAACTAGAAGGTTCTAACTGGAGGGAAGGTTCAGGGGTCGGCAACCTTCGGCACACAGCCCATCAGGGTAATCCTCTGGTGGGCTGCGAGACATTTTATCTTCATTGACCGTCCGCAGGCATGGCCCCCCGCAGCTCCCAGTGGCTGCAGTTCACCGTGCCTAGCCAATGGGAGCTGCGGGAAGTGGCGGCCAGGGAACGGCGAACCACGGCCACTGGGAGCTGCGGGGGGCTGTGCCTGCAGACGATCAGTGTAAATAAAATGTCTCGCGGCCTGCCAGCAGATCACCCTGATGGGCCGTGAGCCGAAGGTTGCCGACCCCTGAACTACACCTTTTAGAAAATGTAATTACTGGATAGGTGAAAATAGAGTGGTCATTGACTGGAGGGTGGCAGGCACTAATTGCCACCATGTGCACTCATAGGGAGCTGAGGACTTCAGGGTGAGCAGATAATATAAAATAATGGGAATGTCCGGTCATTTGTGGCCATATGGCAATGTCAGGCCCAAACAGAAAATCTCTTCCACTTAGCCACTTTCTGATGGATTCCTTCCTGCTATTGTTAAGGATGGCTTGAACTGCTAACAAACATGTCTGTTCTAGATTTGAAGCCCATCCAAATACCAGGCTGTGAGGTGGAGACACTCTGGAATGGGATGTCCGATCTTGCCATTGTCCTATGTCAGAAGGTCCAGAAAAATCAGAGGCTGATGGGGTCAAGCCAACAGCTGGAGAAGGTTGGGCTACCAAAACTGTCTGGGCCATCTGGAAGCAATGAGGATGATCACCACTCTATCTTGCTGGAGGACTCGAGGTAAGAGAGGAATGCGGAGAAAGGGGTACACAAGGGATTAGGATGGTATCTCCTTTGGAGTCTTGACCTTTAATTCCTCTGGGCCAGTATGTCTTACATTTACTGTTTTCTTGTCCTACTAATAGATCCCAAGAAGGGAATCCCAATTGCTTGAATATGCTCTGCACCACAGGGTCATGTAGCTCTCATCTGTGGTTGATCATGACATGTATGCTGTGCCACTAATGTTCTGTGTATCCTGGGAGATGTACTGATGATAGGGTGATTTTATGACTAATACACCAATTCCATGGGTTTACCGTGTCTATGCACAGGGATATGCACCTCACTCCCCCTTCCTTGTTGATGTAGCACACTGTTGTGATATTGTTTCGTATTACCTGAATACATTGGGATTGTACAAGCAGTAAGAATTGCTTGCAGGCCTCTCAGACAGCTCTCTGTGCCAGCACATTTATGTGCATCCTGGACTCTCGGGGAGTCCACGTCCCTTGTGCTGTGTGTTTGTCCAGATGGGAGCCCCATCCTAGGAGGGAGGTGGAATAATCATCTTCTGGGGGTGGAACAAAGGAAACTCCTGTGTACATCTTCTTGTTGCACTGCCACTGCCTGGTTGGCACAGATACCATCTGATGCCAGGCTTGTGGGCAGCAAAGCCGAAGTCTCGCAAATGGTGTCAAGTAGGTAGGATGCCATGTGACATAGGAGAATAAAACATGTACAAATCAATGACTGAGGGCTCTGAGTTGATTGATTCAATTATTTAGTGACTGAAATCTGTCCAAAGATGCGCCGATAAATTCTGTGGTCTGCAATGGAACTAAAATGGACTTTTCTGTGTTCACGCAGATTCCCAGTGACACTAGAAAACTGAGGAGAGATGAAAGAAGGTACCTTTGTAAACACTCTGGACACTGTTGCTAGTCCAAAAGGGAGCACCCTGAACTGACAATGATTTGGACCTATAGTGAATCTCATCAATCTTCAGTTAGAGGGATGGATGTTGATATGAAAATAGATATCCTTCATGCCGAGACCCATGATCCAATTGTCTCCGTTTAGGGACATAATTATTGATGCCAGGATGACCATCCACAATTAGGGTTGCCAACCCCCCAGGATTGGCCGGGAGTCTCCCGGAATTGGCATTGATCTCCCAGTGACTATTGAAAGCAATCCAGGAGACTTTAATAGGATATTTTAAGAAAATCACATTACGTCTTGCTGGGGGAAAAAATCTCCCGGAACAGCTTCAGTCAGACTTGGCAACCCTATCCACAATCTCAATCTGCAGATAAAGACATTGAGTTGTTGGAGGTCTAAAATTGATCTCCACCCTCCTTTTCTTGGATATGAGGAAATATTTGGATAAAATTCTCCCCCCTCCTCCCTGATATTTAGGTGGTACCAGCTCTACAGTTCCCTGCTGAAGTGGGAAGTCTACCTCCTGAATGAGTATCTTCTTATGAAAGTGGCCCCTAAAAGGGAATAGGGTTTTGAAGGGGGAGGGTAGAGGAGCTCTGTGTATCTGAACTGGATGATGTTAAGAACCCATTTGTCTGTTATCTACTAGGCATGGAAAAATTCGGCTATTCAGCCACCAAACGGGATGTCTGGGTCAGAAGGAAATGGCGTCTCAGTTGGTTAGCAGCTCTTGACGGTCTCGTCAAAGTACCTCTTGATATGAAGTTGTCGCTGAAAGGAGGAGGAAGGAGGATGAGTGTTGTGTTTAGTTTTCTGGATCCTCTATTGCTTCTGTGGTGGTTTGTATCCCCTTTGGTGGTAGAAGGGTTGTGGAACTGGTCTTGGTTCATAAGGCTGTTTATGACACTTCCTCTTCAGCGCTAGTGTATATAAAGTTAGGGACCATACTGTTGCCTTGGAATCCTTCAGTGAGTGTAAAACTCATCTGTCTTTTCACTAAAAAACTTATTCCCATCGAATGGCAAATCCTCTACAGCTGATTGAACTTCCCTGAGAAATCTCAAGAAGTGCTGCCAGGATTTGCAACACAACAGCAGTTGCCATTAACCTTGAGGAAATATCAGCTGCATCAACTGCAGCCTGTAGAGATGTTCTAGCTACTAATCTAGCCTCCTCAATAAGGACCTGAAATTATGCCCCATTCTCTGGAGGGAACTTATCTCTGAATTCAGAAATTTTTGAATAGTTGACAAATTGTATTTCGATAGCAAGGCCTGGTAGTTGGCTATTCGGAATTGCATGCTGATGGACGTAAATGCCTTTCTTCCAAAGAGGTCTAAACTTTTTGTTTCTTTACCTGGGGGGGGGATGGACCTTGGGTGTTGTTACCTACTTGTTCAGTGGCTGCCCGAACCACCAAAGGATTCAGGCAGGATGAGTAAATAAAAATGCTGTTACCTTGTCTGGGACAAAATATCTCCTGTCTACCCTCTGAGGAGTAAGGTGCACTTGTTGCTGGAGCATGCCACACAAGCCTGGCATGCTCAAGGATGGCACTATTAATGGAGAGTGCCACTCTGCTAGGTCCTGCACTCTGTAAACTATCCAGTAGTCTGTAAGGTATCTCCTGAATTTGCTCCAGAAGAATCTGGAGCTTATCCACAACACCAACAGATCTTGAAACCGTTTTTGGTCATCTGGTGCAGACCAATGGACACTACTAGCAAAAAACTTCCAGACTCAGGCACATTGAGTGTATATGTACTGACAGCGAAATGCACATAGGGACCTGCATTAGAAGCAGCAACATTCACATTCCATTTCTAATTCACATTTTTTCATCTTGAATCTACACAAGGTTCTTCACAATTCTTGCGTTGGAGTGCCTTTTGACATGTTACCCAATGCAACTGTACAAAGTATTTTTGAATAGTCCATATTGTAATTCTAGATTATTTGTCCAGCTTCAATTTTAGAAACTAAATGATAGGTTATAAGAAGTATTCTAAACAAGCTTAAACTACATGATGTATGCAAGAATAAAAAAAATCCACAGATTTTGCTCTCTTCAGCAGAACCTACTCATTCATTTAAAAAAATATTATAGTTTTGCACAGCCCCATTAATAACAGCTTCAGAGACTAAAAAAATAGAAGATTAAATACAGCAATTATAATCAGCTGTAAACAAAAAAATGTATCCAAGGTACACATTAAATCAGATCTAATGTATCCTGGGTCATAACTCATTACTAAAAATAAGATACTCTGGCATGTGTGCTGTACTGGGATAATTCCATATGTTGGGTGTGTTATTAACAAGGTCAACAGCAACTGCTCAAGAAGTGGCAGTATCTCAGCTTGATACACATCTTCACTGAGTTTATAAAATAGCCCTATGAAATTTAAAATAGTAATAAAAATACATATTAATTATACTAATTACATTGTTCTTTATTCCAAGTAAATAAGGGAAATTTAACAACATCTCTCCTCTAGTCATTTCCTGCTGGGTTCTTCTGGAGAGAAAAAGTTGCAAAATTTTTCTAGATATCTTGCCATTCCGTCTCCCCTCTTGGAAAGAGAAGGTGGTGCATCATGGGAGACGTAGTCAGGCCAAGGAGCCTGACCCATAGAGGAGAATGGTGACATGAAGCAACTGAACTACAACTTCCATGATGCACCGTGGCAGCATTTCCAAATAAAAATATTTCAATTTTTTGGTGATTGGTTTGTAAACATAAAACTGAACTTTTCTGCAAAAAGCAGGCACTTTATGGAGGGGAAAAAATGTTGAGATGAAAATCGAACTCTCTGCTGAAGAACAGTTTTAAGAGAAAATGTTGGCCAACCCTACATATATTAGGCTGGGGTAACAATTCATCTGCCCTAATGATTCAGCAACAGACACTCAACATTTTCCAATGGCTCATTAAGTGCTAACACAATTGGGCTTTTGAGCACATACTGCTAGCCTGTCACATCCACACCAAACCAACAACTTTGTGGATTAGAGTCACACATTTATGTGCGGAATTTAAGAAACATTTCCTTCCAAGGTCTATTGTTGATAGCTAGTACTTAAAGATTACTACATACTAAATCAATTGTTATTTCAAAAAAGGGTGTCATTGCTATTGTATGTCAGTTGTGATTATCTCAGTTCTCTTAATAATGACAAAAATGCACTCTGTGGTGCAGATGTAGTTCAGGCAATGCAAGGGAAGATTTATGTTCAAGTGATTGTAATTATAGATTTTTAACTTGATTTAATGTTTACATTTTAACTGAAAATGCATTATCATCATTTATTAATTCAAATATTTACCGAAGATTCTCTCTGTGTTCTTTAAAGTAGCTCCTCTAAGAAGCAGATTTTCAGATCCTAATGGCCTACAAAAGATAAAGGATTATCAAAAATATATTAAGTATTCAGAAATAGAAATCAGATTGTTATGAAAGTCACATGAAACATAACAGACAGTATTAGCTACAGAAAATAAAGTATTGCTCATTTGGTTAAATGAAAGTCTACACTTAACAAGCAACCAACATTTACAGTTTACATTTGGGATTTTTTATTAAAGTATTATGGTCAAGATTTTTAGATATATGAATACCTAAAATTAAGCTCTTAAATTCATATTTAGACACCTGTAACCTGATTTACAGAAGCGTTGAGAATCCAGCAGCTACCACTGACTTCAGATTGAATTTGGACCATAAACCTCAATATACAAAGATAACGGAAAAATGCATTACGGAGTTTGTTCCACAAGCATTGTCCAAGACCTACATGCCATATAGTAACCAACTTATCTTGCTTTAGTTCTCACCCCTGAAAATTGTAGTCTAATTTTGTTCACTGATTAGGATGGGAAACTCATTAGGATGGGAAAGATTGCTGCTTTCAAGTTCTCTTTCTCCCTCCCTTTTCAAGTTAGCTGTAAAGAAATTTGATGGAGCAAAAGTTTTAGACTCCGATAGCTATAAACTAACCTTTAAGTCATCCAAAGTTTTGAGAATTTATACAGTACCTCAAATATATCTTATGAGAAGCAAATATTTTTATACGGCATGCTGGGAATATGTGTGCTACATATCAGCAATGATTGAAAACTATTTTGTAATCTTGTTGAATTTAAAAATCTGTTTTGCTTGGTCTTCACTGAAAGGAAGTTTGGATATCCAAAAAGTGGTGTTTTTAATTTGAGTCAGCACTGAACTAGAAGAGTGCTTCAGCACTGTGCTAAAAGGTGCTGTGTTTTAGAAAAGATGTAAAACCTGGACCTGACCACTTGTAGACATTTCATGACACTGTAAGGTATCGGCTGTTAATGCTGGTGACTGGACCAAATGCCAGTTGGTATAAGGGAAGACAACCAGCTGGTAGTGACAGTTGAAAGTATACAGCTATGAACAGATGGTCACCTTGCAAATAGAAGAGGCAGATATCTCAGCTCTCTATGCACCAGATTTTGCTATACCATACCACACCACAAGAAGAGCGACACTTACGATGTAAGGACAAGCTTTCCTTAGTTTGGCTATAGACACAAAATACAGTCCTTTCATCTGTAATATTTTTACTGGTGGCCTTGCTTTTATTGCAACTCTCAAAGCAAAGAGAATAGTTGCTTAGAGTTTGAATTTTAGCCATGAACTTTATTGAAGAGAGAAATATTCCTGAATCAGGATCTTTTTGAAACCTGCCTGTAAAATACTGAAGACGCACTGAAAGAAGCATCATTATATATCCTCCCCTTTCTCCAATATCCAGTGAATGAAGATGCACTAACCTAAGAGAACATTGTCAAGGCTGATTATTTTCAGCTTCAGCTCACAAAGGCCACTCAGCAATTTCCTCCGAGAAATCAAGAGTTAAATAGCTCTGCTCAATCTTCAGGCCATCCCTCAAGGGTAGGTGTTCTGAGTTGGGGAAGCTGGCTGGTCTCAGATAGCAGTTCTGGCCTATTAGGTAGTATCTACGGAGAAGTATACAGTGATGCTCTCGAGGTCAGAAAACCAAAGATGATGGGGCCACCAAGAAGCCAGCAGGATCATTTATATATAGCCTAATTTCTCTTGCAGCTCTACAGAACAGGATTAGGCCAGGGAAACAATATCCCAGTTCCTTGCTTCAATCCCAGGCCAATGTATCTTCCCCATGGTTTGGGGACAGAAGTACTTTCCAAAATGCGGTTAGTGTAGCTGTCTTGCTGGAGTCAAGCCAATTGACTGTTCTGGACTCAGCTGCTGGCACACCTCCTGGAAGAACTGAGGTGCAGGCTCCACTTTCCCACTGTCCTGGACAGGAGCTCCCCTGGTTTAAAAGAGAGACTGTTCCGAGGGGGCAGGGAAAAGCTATGTCCAAACACAGATGGGGCAAGTGGGGAAGGAAAAGAACACGGAGCTGTGTGTTCTATTGCCTGTTCATATGTATTACTGCAGTTTGGTTGTTATTTGCATTATGTAGTCCCTAGGGCCCCATTGTGCTAAGCACTGTATACAGAGAGCAAGAGGCAGTCCTTGCCCCAAAGGAGCTTATAATCTAAATAGACAAGAAAAGGATAGGGGAACAGCAATAACATCCAAGCAGAGTGAACTGAGTTTTCATTTGCAAACATCAAGCTAGTTCCATGATCTGGCTGTATTGGGGGGGAGGGGTCAGGTGAGGTGTTCTGGTGGGAAAGGATTAGCTAAATGGAAAGGAGAGGGGATATTGAAGGAAGGAACAGAGAGAAGAAAAAATGGAAGGCAGGTAGCGTTAAACTGAGGTGAAGAGATTACGCGTAAAGGGATTTAAGCAAATAGCCAGTCAGCTCAGGGGAGAGAATGTCCCCCCTAAGAGCCGTAGAAATTAGCCAACAGTGCCTGAGGGAGCTACCTGAGTTTGCTCGAGGGTGACTGTTTGGTTGGCTCCACTCAGGAGTTTTTCTTCTTCCTCAACCCCACATGGTACAGAGAGGTATGGAGGCAGGATGTGCTCCAGGTCACAAATGATAATACCAACATGCTGGAGCTTTCGGTTGAGACTACAAGGAAAGATTCATTTCCTAGACTCAAAAGAAGTCTGAGTTCAAGAGGCAAGTATCATGGCAAGAATGAGGGTGGTGCAGTGCATACCTCAGATCCAGTGTATGCAGAGAGGAGGAAGCACCACATAGGACTGACTCCTTGACAGACAGAGTGAGGGGAGAAAAGGCCAATGCCACTGAAGGAGTGGGAACCTCTGAAGATGGAAATGAGCCCAGAGTGATGGGGAAGGCCAGGGTCTGCCTTGGAATTTATGCTATGTTTGAAGGGATTATCCTCCAAAGCAAGCAAAAGGTAAAATGGGGTCGTAAGTGGAGGACAGGCCCTGGTCTTACAGCACTGTAGTGTACTGAAGTGCCTTTATAAAAATGGCATTGCAAGGTTCTATAATTCACTGTCTCACGGATTTGCATTTCAAATTTGCTCAAGTTGCAATGGTTTGCTCTGCTGCCTGAATTAGGCTTCTCAGATATACCTGTGCAATCCTGTTTTCAGATGTTATCAGTTAGACCTGTGCAAGCACTTACAGCTAATGGGGTACACAGGTTTCCTGAGGGAACCAGAACATCTTGACAAACTAAGCAGGGAGGGCCAGGAAGATCTGGAATCGCAGGAATTCCCCTCACCAACTGGGCTCACCGATAAGAGAACTGACACCCTGAAGTCCCTTACTGAGGTGAAGCAGAGGGCTTAACAGGAGCCACTCTGAGAATGCAGAGCCCTGGCTGGCTCCTTGGTTACTGGGCGCCTGCAAGTAGCCACAAAAGGAAAAGCTTGATCCCGGTGCTTTTGTTCTCTTTGGCTTGAGACCTGGACAGAAGCACATACAGGAGGGGGATCATCTTTCCCTCTGTAGATGAGGTCCTTGATAGTGCAGACAGGAGAAATGGCACCTCCTTGTGCTTCTTTGTTCATCTTTGCTTTTCCTCTCTAGCTTTGCTTCTGTGGTTCTTCATTCTCTTTTCTTGCAGAAGAACAACAACAAATAAGAAAGTATACAGGAAAAGAGACAATTGCTCTTCCATGCTTCCAACGTGCAAGAGACAACAAATTGAGAGGAAGTGGGCAAATTAGAGCTTATATTCCACCAATAAATTGATCGGTGGAAAATGAATGCTGTGTCTATGGGCTCTTGCCAGACAGAACAGGAGAAGATGTACTGCCAATATATTTTGTTTCTCCAAGTTTCCCCAATAGTTTCAGTTGAAAATTTCTTCACTTCCTGTTCCAAACTGTTGAGTGGTATTGCTGTGCACAATTATATGCTGCCACGTTTTACTCCAGTGGCTCGTTAAATCTCTCTCTCTCTCTCTCTCTGAAATTTTTCATTCTATATTTTAAGAAGCCTTGTTATTATAAGAAACACTAAATTTGTGACTGCTCAGGGTTGTCTGCAATGTTAGACCCCTCTCCTGCAAAGCAAATCTGCCTGCCTGTGTGGAGTCTTGTGAACTTTGACAGCACTCTGTCTATGAGGCACGATCACAGCCCTCAGTTGTGCACCCTGCATATTGTTTGCAATACACTGAAGTATGAAGGATAA